ATTTTTTGAAGATAAGCCAGAACCATGTTGTGATATACAACAGTAATCATGTCCAAACAGAAAAAAAAATAATTTACACTTGACGTGGTCTGTAAATTTCTGCAAAATTTAAAAAGGTTGTAAATATGAGGCTGCAAAATTGTCATAAAAGTGGCTGCATCTTCCATGGCAAAAACCACCACAAAGGGAACAATTTTTATCAATAGTTATTTCATAAAATTCAAGTCTTCAGGACCAAGCCCAAAGAATTAAAGAAAGTTATGTTCATATGGTTCTTCATTCTCAAGAACCACATCTGTATATGCGGATGAAAACTAAACTTCCCATGTAATCAGGACAAATTTACAATGCATTACTACTACATTAATGTTCAGTTGTCAGCAGATTGGAAATAGATGTAATTAATTTTGGAAGTACATAGCAGAGCTACAAATGTTTATCATTACTGTATTCAAATTTTTCACTTATTTCAGCGACAAAAAATCCAAATTCATGAGAGCTAAGTAAATGGTTTGTAACTTCTTTATGTCAATGGAATCCAGTTTTGTATTTACACACTAGAAGCAAAATGTGACCCATCAGCTGTAAGTTAAATAGTTAATTTGGTAACAATTTAATTACAAACTTCATTACACTTTATTTCTTTATATATTCAATTAACTAGATGGTTCCTAGGACTTAAATGTGCCTCTTTTTGTTTCCTGTTCAGTGTTTTAAGAATAAACAATTTTTCTAAAGCATAACTGTGCTTAGCATTTCTGGAGTATTATCATACTGCTAGGTACTCTGAAATGTAGCTGAATAATAATAAAAAAAGCAGCATATAAATTGTAAAGATTTGTCATATATATATTAGAATAGTATTTATGCATAGATGGATAAACACAAATATGTAAGACAGTATCGCTGGGCTGCAAGGAGATCCATGTGCTCTCATTTCACCAGAGCACATTACAAAGATTCTTAGAAGGGTTGGGAAATGATGTAAATGAACTAGTATGGCCGCCCTGTTCAGAGTGCTGCTATCCTGCCCACTCCTCCCACAGAGAAGACTCACTCATCTACTCCTCCATCCTCTTGTCATTCCTTAGCTCGAGGTTCTGCATTTTCCAGAGTAAATAAATGCTGCAGAAAGGAGGTACAAGTTCCCTACATCAAATAATCAATAGAAATGTGAAGACCATTTGAAGGTTGACAGCTATGGAATTGTGTCTGCCACTCACTCTGCCTTCCCTCCTCCATTTTTTCTTGTTAAAAGCATTTTCAGTTCCATGTAAGAAAACTGGAGATTTTGGCCCTCTTCTCTAGAGGCCAGTTTGGAGATGCTAGATTTCAGCATGCCAGTCTTTAACTCAATAAAAGGCTACTCAGGTTCCCTGGAGACACTGAACAATATAAAGAACCTGCCCTCTAAAAATGAAGGAGCTCTGGTTTACCCTCTCCTTCAGGATGCAATGCCTTAATGGACTCTGCCCCTGGAGAGGTAACCATATGCATTAAGCAGACTATAAAGTTTCTGTAAGAAACTTTGCTCACACATATTAGCTCCAGCTAAATAAAAGTCTAAACAACCTACAGAACCAAGATGTTACCTTCATATTTTACCAACAAACATGATTAGCTATTCCACCCTTTCCAGGTAGACATTCGAAATTGTGTTTCCATGGGTCAGAAGCTCAATTTTTAATATTTTACCATTAGTCTTGTTATATTATTTCAAGAAATTATTATGTGACACAAGAAAAGATACCACCACATCTGTTTTCCTAAAAGGAATACTTCTAAGAATTAGTTATAAACTTTCTAAAAAACTGAAACATAGGAAAGCAGTCACAAGTTAAATACTGCAGTATGCAGAATCAATTGAACAGGTTTTTGTAACCTTAAGTGACCACCAGAATAATGGGAGGTAAATACAGAGAAAAAAAAAACCAAACATATGTGAGAATTTGGGCTCTAGAAGTATGAAAAGTGGAACCTGCATTTGTATCAGACTCTTAACTGACGGCAGGACTGACATAGCATCTGGTGTTTCAAGTACTGTGTAAGAATGTCTAGAAATTACATGGTCTATCTTCTGAGATTATTCAGTTGAAATTCAGGTCATTTTATCAGATAGGAGTCAAGTGTGTAATACAGACAAGAGGGGAGGGGGGAGGGGAGGGGGGGGAGGGGAGGGGAAGGGCAGGGCAGGGCAGGGCAGGGCAGGGCAGGGCAGGGCAGGGCAGGGCAGGGAAGGGAAGGGAAGGGAAGGGAAGGGAAGGGAAGGGAAGGGAAGGGAAGGGAAGGGAAGGGAAGGGAAGGGAAGGGGAAGGGAAGGGAAGGGGAAGGGGAAGGGGAAGGGGAAGGGGAAGGGGATCTCACTACTAAACTCACCATTAGAATTAAGGGCATTAAATTGGCATGATATGGAAAAAAAACTAAAAAAAAAAAAAACAAACAACAAAAGAAAGTGCAAATAATATTTCTTTTACTTCTTAAGAATAATTGTTCTATATTATCACAATCCATGTTTTCATTGCAGTAGTTACATTAAGAAATTAGGGTTCTTCTCCATCTTTTTTCCTTTTATCACAGAATTTCATGCACTTTTGAAATAAAATGTGAGGCCATATGACTGATCCAAGAAACTCAATATGACTTGTCAAATGACTAAACAAAAAATCAGAGGGTAAAAAAATCATTCTAATAACCATCCTAAACCAGTCTGATAACCAACCTCAACCAAGCTAAAACAAATTTCTGGATTCTTGAAATAGGGATTTTTTTTCCTTCTTATACTTTTACCCCTTTGGTCAGAACTAACTCAGCAGATCATCACGCAAAAGGTTTCACTGATGTTGCTAACAAAGATGACATAAAAATGTTTGTTTTTTTTCTTGAAACAAGTTATCCTGTTTTCAATCACAGGCACATCTCCCTTTGCCAAGTCATATTCCCATCTACTTTTTCTTACTATAATTTTCCACGGATGATATATCATTGTAGCCACTGAGTGGGAAATCCTAATTCCATTAAAGTCCTCATTCACAAATAGCCATTTCAGGTGTATTTCAGGATCATTATGGATTAAAGAGTATGATTTTGAAATCTGTATTGTTTAAGGATTTATCCCCAAGAATGCACTTTCTAAAGGTAACTGATGTCATTTAATTTTTTTTTCCAACAATGGAATGGATAATATATTTTTTCTGCTGAAGATGCAAAATTGAAGAAATTTAAATTAACTGTCTGATTTTAGGGTAGACCATTAGAAAACTTCTTCCTTAACAGTTATTAAGTGCAGGTAGAAAACATGGAAGCAGCAGTACTGCCGGCCTCAGAAATGGCAGCATCAGAACGCAAGCACAAACAGACTGCAGAGATATTTCTGTCAGCCATTTCTTTCAATTCCAAGCTATTCCTGCTCATTTACTCATTTGTGGATGCTGCCTCTTTGTGGCAGAATGCCATGTAAAATGTACCTTTCACATTAAGGACCTAATCCCACATTTGTACTGACACCTACGCAAAATCCTGTTTATGAGCTTTGAATCACACAGAAAAAAATACATCTACACATGAACAGACACACAGTTTCCAGGACCCTCTCAGTCATTAGATTTAGCCTTTCTCTTAGTGAATGACAAAGGTAGTGAGGTGGAAAATGTTCCTACTCCTATCCATTTAACAACAAAATTCTTCTACTGGGTTTAAATGGAAGGAGAACCAGGACACTAGTTTCAGCAATAGTTATAAGGTGGAAAGTCCAAATTAGGGTTTCAAAACTGCACCTCAGACAGCAACACTCACATCTTGCTAGTGTCAATGGTAAGTCTCCAGGAGATCTAGAGCAGTGCATAGAACAACCATATGCTGTAATTCTGTGACAAAAGAACACACCTCATATGTGCATTTCAAACTGAAATAACACTCCACTTACTAAACTGTCCAAGCTAAATACAGTCATACTTGTCTTTTCTTTTTGTTTTGTTTTACTTTTGCTTTTGCTCAGTGTGGGTGGCATAGAGAGAAGAACACATGCCAGCAAAAGATTTATCTTCAATTCCAACAGACTAGGTATATAGCTTTGTTTTTGTAGAAAGTATGACAGATTGTACATGGATAGGGAAAGCAGAAGAGAACAGAGCCCTTTTGCAATAAAAAATATACTAGTGAGCAACTCTGCAAATAATACCAAACATGATAATTTCTTCTAATGAAGAAAGACAAAGCCACACGTGAAGTATCACTTATCCTGATCCATATCTCAAAGAACACTTCAGTAAGGAAACAAAATGTAAGTATAAAACTATCCTGTTCAGTATGTTGGTGAAACACATATCCCTGTGTTGCTCTTTGACCCATCTACTGTATGCTGGTAAAATTACCGTATGTCATGTTTTGAAAATACAGAACACATTATGCTTTGCCTGAAAATGTTACACCTTTCTGATGAGATGTATCACTAGTAAAGAGAATCCAACATACAAACAGTTGATTTTGGCAAGAAATTTTAAACTTAGGATACTCATTACTTCATGATCTTACATTTGAAATATTTATCAAGTGTTTATTCAGAAACTATTAAAAATCACATGTGCTGGGATACATATGACACATCAGCTGTCCCATCTTACAGTGATGCTGTGTTTATGAATATCCTTGCCATTGCCTGCTGCCCAAAGGGGTAAAGTATAATGTGTACAGTCCATCATTTGGTCTTTCAGGATGCCAGTAAACACGTGGATCTGTACAAGTGCAATTATACTTGACTAAGCAATCAGAAACTGGCTACAACAGTTATAAAATCAGTATATTTTGGTTAACTAATAAAAATTTAAAAAAAAAGAGAAGTCAAGAACTGACAAATCAAAAATTAAACACACTTTTTTCCTGCTAAAATGAATGCCTTCTACATGCCCCTTACTAGTTTGCCCAACCAGATGCCTAAGCACAGGTTGTTAAAAGGTGTGTTTTTAAATAAACTTTTTTTTTTTTCTGTTGTGATCAGATTTTGTCTTGGATTGTCTGTTAAGATTCGGTCATAATTAGCATTATTTGTAATGATTTAAAACATCCTTATGATACAGTATCAGCTTTGGGAAAAAAAGCTCTCAATGTAGTGCAAAACTTTAAAGCAATACACAGACTCTGGACCCCATCCTGAAAAAAGAGGAAACACTTAAATGTCCCAGTAGTTTTAGTTGTAAGAATAGCTCTGCATCTTCTATCCTGATCTTTTGGGCATGTGACTAACTTTGCTCAATGAGTGAGTCTATGAGACTATACCCATTGGTAGAGTTTTTCATATGTTTAAGTGCTTGCAGGATGAAGGCCTAAACTTGGGCTTCTTTCACAAGTAGACATACTCAAATGAGTAAGAATTTGCAGGACTAGGCCCTAAAATAGTGAAGAGAAATGCTAATGTACATATAAAAATAGGTGCTACAATAAAATATTTTTTATATTTCATCAATAAGTTATTTTCACTAACCAGTTATGGATCATATATCTCTGCACTTTAATGATTTGCCCACATCTACAGTGATCCTTTTAAAGATCATAATGTATTTTAATTCAAAAGTCCAGAAAGTATACAAACACATCCTTAAAAAAAGGAAACATTGTATTAAAGTTGGGGTGTGCTAATATCTCCATAAAAGCCATTTAGACTCGCCCATGGATAAAAGGGGAAAATGTGCGCTGCACTCTTCAACCAGAAAAAAAACCAAAATTAAACAATGTCTGTACAAAAACCTAAAGTGACCATGCCTTTCATACTTGTAACCTTAATATGACCTGACAAGACCCTCCTGCCACCTTCCCCCAAGCATGCATGGATACACACACAATGGCAGTGCTGTGCCCAATGTATACAATAGGTGGTTTCTTACTTCCAAACACACTACAAACTGAGAAAAGGGAAAAAAAAAAAAAAACACAACTGAAAATAAACAGCACACCCTTTCATATTCATTCCCCAAAGCTGAAAAATCCTGTGCCAAGGCACTTCACCCTACAATAAAATGAATTAAAGGGGGGAAACAGGAGGTGGGCGAGGTGGGGGGAGGTCAGCATTTACGTTTCTTTGTTTTGCGTGTGGTTGTTAAATACAAATACTCTAGAGAAGGAGCTGCTGTGGCTGGCGGGAGGATCGGAGGGCAGAAGGGGGAGGGGGGCTGTTTCTCAGAACTGGCTGAATGTGGTCTGTTTTTCCAGCACTTCGAGGTAGTCCGGCTCTGCATTTAGTTTTGCTTTTAGCTCCAGGTACTCGTTCCTGTTGGGCTCTACATAGACAGTACTCGGGGGGGTGTAGAGCACTGTCTCCCGGAGCCTACCGTCCCCCGGGCCCGGGTGCAAGTACTGTGGGGCACGCCTAAGGTCATAGTTGGGGGAGTAGGTGTATGCAGCGGGGAGTTTGGGGTAGTCGGGGAGGGTGGACCCGGCTGTCCCCAGCGTGGAGGACGAGGAGTGCTTGTCAGGCTCCAAAATGCCCCTGTAAAAGCGGTCGGCGTCTTGTACCGGGGACAGCAGCTCCTCCCGCGGCTCGATGGTGCTCACGCTGTACGCGGGGCTGCGCACCGGCGCGTCCTCCCCGCCGGGCGCTGCCGGCGGCGGGGGGGCTGGGGGAGACGGGGCACCCCCGCCGGGCTGCAGAGGGTGGCTGCTGTAGGTGACCTTGAGCTCGTGGAGGTCTTTGTAATCCTCGCCCGCGTTGCCCTCCCGGGAGCGGTAGATGGGGTTTTTGCACATGTGGCCCAGGGGGTGCGGGATGTACTCGTAGACGTGCCCAGCGGGGGTCTTAACTTTGGGCAGCGCCGCGCCCCCCCCGCCGCCTCCGCCGCCGCGGTGGGAGGGATGCTGCTGGAGGTGGGGATGGTGGTGGTGCTGGTGGCCGCCGCTGTAGACGCTGTACTGCATGTTGAACGAGCTCACGTCGGAGTTGTTGGCGCTGGCGTGGTCGCCCTGGCCCTTCTTGCGCCGTTTCATCACCAGGACGAAGAGCCCCGCTGCCACGAAGACGGACATGATAAAGACCAGCAGCAGACTGAGGATCAGCACCGAGAGCGGCACCGAGGAGCTGCCGCCGCCAGCGCCGCCCGCGGGCGCGGAGCCACCCGCCGCCGCCGTGCCGTTGAGACGCACGGTGGAGGAGGACGGGGTGGTCCTGGCCGGCAGCTGGCCCGGGGAGGGCGTCGGGGTGGAGACCACAATGTCGGAGTAGTCAGGGCAGAGCAGCTCAGCCCGGACAGCCCGCATGTCGCTCTGGGCAAACTTCTTCGGGGACTCGCAGATGACCTGGTCCACCAGGACACCAGTGTTGAGCTGCTCCAGCCACAGCTTCATGCCCACCACATCGCAGGTGCAGTCCCAGGGGTTCTCGTGAAGGTCTATCTGCAGCAGGGATTTCAGCTGGTCCAGCACCCCACTCACGGGCAGGTAGGAGAAGTGGTTGCTCCGCAGGCTCAGCCTGTAGAGAGACAGACCAGAAAAAATGTTCCCTGGCAAAGACCTCAGCAGGTTGTTGTTCAAAAACAAGAGCTGAAGGTTGGGGACAGATTGGAAGGTGCCCGCCTCTATCTCCCGGATGACGTTGTACTGCAGGAAGAGGTACTGCAGGCTTTGCAGCCCATAGAACAGCTCTGGGCTCAGATGCTCAATCCGGTTCCCATTCAGATACAGCCTTCTCAAATTAGTTAAATCCCCAAAAGCCCGGTCCTGAATGACCGAGATACGATTATTGCCCAAATGCAGCAAATCTAGCCCAGTGGCATCCACAAAATCTGCCCTGCGTACCAGCGCAATGTAGTTTTCCGTCAAATACATCTTCTTAGGATTATAGGGTTTGGGCTGCAGTTCAGAAATGCTCTCTATCTTTCTCTCCTGACAATTGACATTGAGGCCCAGGTCAGAAATCTGCAAGTTGCAAGTGCAGGCGGTGGGGCACTCCAAAGGCACCGGGGATTTGGTCTGGTAGGCAATGCTGGGGCCATAGTTGCTGTATCCCAGGTCTTTTGAGGGCAGGCGTGAGGTGGGGCGCACCCTCGTCTTGTTGGGTTGGCGGGTGCCTTTGGGGGGCTTCAAAGGGGATTTGTAAACAGCTGAAGAAGAAGTGGCCACGGAGTTGACTGAGGCTGGGGTAGTGTGGAAATACCCTGTAGTGCTCAATGGTGTCTGCGGTCGCATTTCATAATCTGAAATGAGCCTCCTGGGGCAAAGCTCCTGCTTGGAAACTTCATCCAAGTCTCGACCATGTAAGCGGAAAGGGGTCTCACAAACCACATCTCCCACCAGAGCAGAGTAGGAGATACTGTCCAGCCAATCCTTTAGAGAAATCAACTCGCAAGAGCAATTCCAGGGGTTTTCCTCCAGCTGCAGCTCCACCACTTTATCCATGTGCTGCAAAAGGCCCACATAGGGCAGCAGCTTCAGCCGGTTACCCCTCAGGTCCAGGTGAGTTAAGGGCACAAAACGGAAAAGGTTGTTGGGCAAACTGGAGAGGAGGTTATCATTGAGAATCAGCACTTGCAGCAAATGCAGTTTGCTGAAGGCATTGGGTTCAATGACACTAATGTAATTGTAATCGACCTGTAGGTATTCCAAACTCTCTAGCCCAAGGAAAGTGTCATCCCGTAAAAGTTCCAGCTTGTTGTTGTTCAGGTGCAGCCTCCTTAAGCCTCTCAGACCATGAAAGGCCCCAGTTTCGATGTCTTGTATGTCATTGCTCCCGAGATGCAAAATTGAAGCCCCTGTGTAATTGACAAACTGGTTCGGGTACAGCCTGTTCAAAAGGTTCCCGGACAACAAGAGGTGGTAGACAGGGAACCTTGGTGGACTGATCTCAAAAAGGCTGATGATCCCTCGGTTTTCACAGCTCACCGTTAAGATGCTGTCCTTCTCCTCACAAGGACAAGCATTATCACAGATTTCCCCATAATATTCGATGCTTTCTGCCCATGAAAGGACTAGCGATGTTAAAGCAAACGCGATCGTCTGCAGCATCCAGATATGCATTTTTTTTTGTTGAGGTCCTGTTCTAAAGTTACTGTAGAACAGCAAGCGTACATTTTATTCCCTGTAGGATAAGGAGAAAAAAAGAAAGAAGCATAATAGCACAGCCCCATAAAATTTAAAATGGAGACATAGTTTATGTATATCTTCACTAGGGTAGAGAATGCAGAATTGTTAAGCAAAGAAAAAAAAAACCCAAACAACTGTCACTTCTAATTCCCACACTTTCAAAAACTGGATGACATGCATTGATTAAAAGGTTGATGGGCAACTCCTAGCCAGTCAAATGCCTGCAGTGCTTAAAAAGGTAAGGTCAAAGCAGGAATTATCCTGGTTCTGTTCATGTGGGGTGCATTTCAATGCTTCCTTGGATTTCTTCTTCATGACCAGCCCCATAAATATACATAAAATGGCTGTCAGTTCAGTTTCACGGTTCTAATTTAAGAGAATAAGAAGCACCATTTTACGAGGTTTCCCACCTCCCCCGTTACCCGACTCCCCCTTCCCTTCAGAACCTCTCTGGTGAACAGCGCACCAAGGTCTTCCCCTCCTTCCACCTCGGTTTTTAACTGGTGGTGGAAATGCCATGGTAAGAATCCCGAGAAAAACACTCAGTGCTGAAAACGGCAGCTTAATTCAACAGAGAGCACACTGACACATTCCCCACATCACACATTCCTTAAAACTCTTCTATGCCTTCCCCCCCCCCCCCCCCATCTCTACATTTACAAAGCACACGCCCACCCACACAGACATGCACACACACACGCCCCCCCCCACCTTACTTTTGTGGAGGAATGCTTCAGTAATGAGATTAAACACGTTAACCTCCTACTTCAGTGCACTTAACAGTTCACTTTGCCAAGAGAAATTCTGTATCTTCTCACAGTAATTTTAATTGATTTTATGATACATACCACCCCCCGTGAGTTATGCACAATAAAACAGAGCTGACCACCAAGCAGAGGTCTTCGGTTCTTGCACACACATACATACACACAGAAAGACACACAGACTTAAAGGAAATGTTTTAACCACTCACCCAAAATTTGTGAGAAATGTAAAACACACGGATCATCTTCGTAGTCTCAGCCATATCTGACATAGCGCTTATTCCCAACGTTCTGCAAAACTAGCCTGGTAGAAGTGGAGAGATCTAAATAGGTCTCATGGAAATGTCTCATCGCCAACACTCCAAGCATCAGAGTTACTGATTATAAGCAGCGATGACTGTCAGTACTCTTCATCCTTTAGGGGAGAAGACACCCAGGCTGATTAAATGCCAAGGAGAGGTGGAAGGGAAACCCTACCATTGACCTAGGTCAGTAATTTAATACCCAGATTTCACCTAGCTGCAAACAAATCCCATTTCCATTCCTTCTTTCAGTCTTTCTGACTCCTTGTGGCTTTCTTCTACTAGCCTAAAAGCAGTATGACTAGGGAAAATAAAAGCACTGTGTGTCTCAGTAGGGGAAGACTAATAAACCATCCAGGCTTAAATGCTGGGATATTGGAGCAAGCTTGTATTTTCTACTGTCCACCTCAGAGCTCCAATCCTCATGACACAACTCTGCTTTGGAGGAATGCATCCAAAATCCCGGGAAGTCTCAGTACTGCAAGACATCTCCTGTGGCATCAGGTTCAAGGCTGCAAACCTAGCACTTGCAGCAAAGGCAGTCATGCAGCAAGAAATCGGAAGTCTGTGAATCTCTCTCTGATTCTGACCAGACGTCAACTGGATCGGAATTACTCAAAGCAAAAGGCTTCACTGCATGAAGGCAGCAGAAATATCACTCAAAGGCATGTATCTAGCATATTCTCTCTCAGCTTGATCAGATCCATTCATCCATTAACCAACACTTCTTCGGAGGAAAAAAAAAAAAAGCCTTTGAAAACCTGCCTGGTCAATGTTCAACTCCCAGGCATTTTACAACTTTAATTCAGTTATGGTTAGTAAAGGAGGCAAATACAGTATTCCCTCTGTCCTCCTTTCTCCCTTCCCCTGAAAAAAAAAGGAGGGTGGGGGAGGTAAAGAAAATAAAGTTGTAGCTGGCTGTATGCAAGGTTGCAATCCCGCCCTGGAAACCCTCTGTGATGACTGCGTGCTGCTGTTCGCCAGCTCCCTACAGAGGTTCGGATTGGGGGGGGGAGGGAAGATGGGGGGTGACGGGGGAGGGGAGAAAAGGAAAGGGGTTGCTTGCATCGGGATTTTTCTTGTGTGTGGGTTGTTGGTTTTTTTTTTTTCCCCCGAAGAGTTCAACCCTTAGATTACCGCACTGCATATTCGGCTCGAAGCAGCTTTCAATACAAACGACAGCAGCAGTAGCAGCCCCAGCCGGGCACCGCCGCCCCACCGAGCAGCACCCAGAGTTGGGAGAAACGGCTTGGGGAGGGGGGGGGGAACAGGGACGTGGATGGAGGAGGGTTTGGGGGTGAAAAGCAACAGCGAAGGAAGACCGGGGGGGGGGGGGGGGGGGGGTAGGAAGAGAAGCGGAGAAAGAGAGCGCGAGAAAAGTAAGCCCCGGTACTTACTTCGCCCGAAATCCCCAGGGCCCAAGCATGGTGGCAGCCCATAAAGATGCCTCCCCGCTGCGCGGGCGCTGCGCGGAGCCGCCGGGGCGGCGGCGGGTATATGGCAGCAACCGGGAGCGCGGTGCGGAGCGCGCAAACACCCCCCCGCACTCGGGCGGCGCTGAGACACTAGCGCTCGCACAGGGGCGCACACACACACACACACACACACACACACACACACGCGCACACGCGCACACGCGCACACGCACACACGCACGGGAGCGCGCACACGCTCGCGATCTCACACTCACACACGCGCGGGAGCGCGCCCGCCTGCCCGGGCAGCCGCGGGGGGCGTGCGCCCCCACCGCACTCCGGCACGCGCCCGCACGGCGGGGGGATGGTGGGGGGAGGATTTGGGGAGGAGACAGGCCAGCGAAGCGTCACGATCAAACCGCAGTCGCTGAGCGCAGCGAGGGGGGGGGGGGGGGGGGGGGGCGGGGGGGGGGGGGGGGGGGGGGGGGGGGGGGGGGGGGGGGGGGGGGGGGGGGGGGGGGGGGGGGGCGGGGGCGGGGCGACGGCGCTTTGCGGGGGGCTGAGCGGGGCGGGGGGTGCTGAAAAGAGAGGGGCGGGAGAAGGAACGGGAGTGTGGGGGAGCCGCAGGGAAGGGCCGCCGCTCGGGGCGGTGGGGAGGGTGTCCGCCGCTGGCGGTGCGGAGGGCAGCCGGCTCCCCTCGGCGCCGCGCATCGGTACGCGCGGTCACGGACACGCCAGGCACGCACATGCCGATACTACTGCTCCTCCCGTGGTTTACTCGCACTTTGCCCGGCACGGGCCAACTTTCCCCGGACGCTGGCCCCGTTCCCCCCCGCAGCCCTGCCCCGGGCTGTATTCCCGGCAGCCCGAGGTAGGGAGCGGGCGGCAGCGCCGCCTGCCCCATGCTCGCCCTGCAGCGCTCGCTGCCTGTGGCTGAGCGGCACGGAGCGGGTGGCGGGAGCCGGCGCTGCTGAGCGTGCGGGAGCCTCGGCTGCACCCGCGAAAACCGTGGGTAATTGCGTGGTCGCGGTGAAAGGAAACGGCGGGTTTCGTTGCACGCATCCCGCGAAAGCGGGGTTCCGGCTGGGCGTCGGGTTCGTTTAGCTCGTCCTTCCCCCTCTGCCCACCCTAGCCACGGGGCATAGGGGGGCGTGGTGGCGACTCTGCCGACGACCCCCGTTCCCCTCCCCGGGGAGGCCGCGGGCTGCCGCTGCGGGGCGGTGAAAGGCGATGCTATGCCGCCCGGCGCCGCCAGGTGACAGCGCAAGGCGGCGGGTGAGTCGCGCGGGAGAGAGCGGGGCGGCCCCGCGGGAGTGGACAGGCCAGCATCGCGGGGTGCGGCGTTTCGGAGAGCGTCGAAGACAGGGAGCGAGGAAGTAGGCGACGCTTTCCTGGCTGTGCTGTCTTCGTTGGTTTATGGGAGAGCTACCGTTATTCTGGTGGTGTGCAGAACACGGAGGTTTTTCTGTGCGAAGCTGGCTGTAGCAGCGGTGATGTGTGATGTGTTTTACGTTTACCTTTAGGTGTTTTAGTTTCCTCTGATCTTCAAAAGTAGAAAAGGTAATTTAATTGCATACACTCAGAGATGCGTATATGCTCGTATTTGTGTATTCATTATTGTTCTGCGCTGCATATGTTTTAGTAGGTAAATCAAGTAGATTTGCAGTAACACAAAGTACATCCCATGTGAACAGCGCATGGAATCTCGCTTTAGCTCAAAGGTAATGCTAGACATAGTTGTGCCTTCATGGGTTTTCTAGTGCCCAGTGAAGAGGGAAGAACACTGCATGTGATGCATGAATTCATCACGGGTGTATCTTCAGCAGAGCTTTTAAGTCCTGTCTTAAACATCCCAACATGCTAAACCCAGGGATGATTGTGAAAAATCAGCTTCTTCTTCATGTTCAGCCTTCCCCAAAAGATGTATTCTTCTCTTTGCAAACATAATAGGAATGTGACTCAAGTCCTCCTTCCCTAGGCCTCAAATAAGCAAAATCTGGTGTTTAGATAGACAACAACATTCTTACATAAACCAGTTATATTTCTGACTTTGTAGAAGCTTTTGGAAAGCTTCTCAATGGGAGAAAGTACTTCTGTTATTAAAGAATTTCTGATATTCCTGTTTTGATGCAAAACCAAGTTGATTCAGTGGAAGTTTTTGAATGGCTTTAGACTGAGTTCTAAGATACTACTTTTGGGCAGGAGAAGAGTAGTAAACCACACTAGGCACTGCCCTCTGTTCCCCAACTTTAAAGCTTTTCTGATAATCCACATGAAATTTATGATGTTAATGGAATAAGCGTAATTCACAGGTAATAAATAGAGATGATTTATAGGAGTTTCTTATGACTTTGATATTTTTGAAAAACATTTTTGTTTTGAACTAGTAATTCTGTATTTTGAATACGTGGGATTTTTTGCATATATGCTTCCGGTTTTCAGGCCTCTCATAGCATCTGTCTGTGTTTCCACGCAATTTTTCTTCCTGACATGCAAAATTGGACACACATAAATACTTTTTTATTCATAAGAGAGAAAGATATTTTAAGTAACATTGGCAGCTAGGCTGTGCTTTTTCAACGAAACTGTTCTGGAGAAGTTGACATTTCATAAACCTGAAATCGGGTTAAAGACTATCATGGAAAAGTCAGTATTGTACACATGTTTCAGTTTAATTATTCTGGTCCTGTGCTAATGAGATATTTGAAAGTGTAATGAATAGAAATCCAATTTACTAAAATCTTATTTCTAAGTTGTTAGACTGCTAGATTATTCTAGTAGCACACACGAGGCTTAAATAGTTGTTGGTGTAGAACTATGATGCTGTTGTTCCATTCATTCTTATTCTGATTAACATTATATTTTTAGTTAAATGTCTTGAAGTTCTGTGGAGTTTTGCAGAATATTTATTTGTATATGCGTGACTGGCATGAAAGGACACAGCGCTGTATTCCTTGCTGATTTCAGCAAGGAATTAGACTCCATTTGAATGGAGGCTACATAGTCTGAAAGTATTCCTTACATTGGAAAGCTAGATCTGAATATCTGAACTAGAGCTGTCATCATAAACCTGAGCACTTGAGCATCAAACAATAGATGTCACTGAATTTATGAGAAATAAAGAGTTATTTATTACTATAGTGTGTTGCCTTTTGGTAAGCTCTCTCTCATATGCCTTTTATTAAACCAGGAGTTCCTAAAAACCTTTAAACTGAAAAAGGAAGAAACTTGGAAGTAACTCATACAGTCCTCATACGGAATACAAATAGAGGTATGTGAATGAGGATGGAACAACAGAAAAGAGAGCTAAACGAAGGGATATGATGAATACATGGATTATTTCTACAACAACTTGTAACTCTACAGATTTAGCCCATTTGTATAGTACTTCAATCAGTAAGAGTAGCAGAAGTAGTTGATACAGTGTTTGGAACCAGACATTATGGGAAAACAGGAACACAGAGGTACCAAAGTAATGAATTAAATGCATTGGAACCAAAAAGGTGGTAAAATAATTTCATGTTAATGCACTAAAAACTGTTAAGGAGTAAAGACTGTTGAGCAATAGCGTGATAAAGACGTTAATTTTGAGGGTGAAGATGAGATAGTGTCTGCTAGAATGAAAATTATTCGGCAAAGGGTAGGAAAAAAAGCTTCATGGGGATGCAATTTATTATGAATCTGCTGGTACAAATTTAATCTGTATAATAATGACTACAAATACAGGAAAAAAGGGTAACAAGATCATATGATTATGCAGATTTGTGTGATTTCTCATAGGCAAATATCAGAAAAAAAATCAGCCAATGATGTTGGGGATGATATGAGTTTGAACACAGTAGAAGATAGCTTCTATGGAACAGACACTGAGCAAGTGAGAGGCAAGGATAACTTAGAATTTATTTTAGTTAATGATAGGATCTGCGGAAAAAAAACCTGATGTCAGAAAATTGTCTTTAATCTGGTGGTTTTGAGCTTTTCCACTTCATGTGAAGTTGCAAGACAGAAGAATGTGGAGGATCTGTAACTGCAGTCTAGTATTAAAGAAAGGCAAACCGAGAAACAAAAAAGTTTAGTGAGATAGTCTTGAGGAGGATCGTCAGAATTATTTTTCAGGTAAGGCATGATATTACTTTATGCAGAAAAAAAGAAAAAACAAATCAAAAAAACCCATCAAAGATTATTGAAAATTTACATTGGGGGAGAAAAAAAAACATCCCAACCCAAAAAAAAAAAAAAAAAAAACAACAAAACACTTTGAAGTAACAGGGATGAAAAAGAATTCCCAGAAGGTAAAAATCTTAAGCAAGTTAATAAGGGCAAACACAAAAGCTATGAAGAATGAAAAAAAGATACTGATTAGCAAGGAGAAATCTGCATTAATAATAGGAAGGTATAAAACCAAACTGAGAATGAGGAGAAATCTTACTAACCAAAACTTGCACAGAAAATTGAAACAGTAAGAAAACTTCTGAAGCCATGCAAATAAAATGAGAACTGAAAAAGTGGGGTGGATGTTAGAGGATTCAGTGGGTATTAAGAATAAAGTAGGCCTGGACTAAATAATTACTGGAAAAGTTGCCTCTGTTTCTGGCAAGACTGTGTATATAAATTTTTATGCATAATGAAAGTAGGAATAGGGCAAGAGAAATCACATCATCAGCATATCTGGTACTGTGTGACACAAGCATTTGGTCCAGAAAATTTCTGTCTTGGAGCGCTGAAACGGTCGACAGATGAACTGCAAGTCCAGAAGCAAGTCCAAAATTTCCAGTAAGTGTAGGCAAGGGGACAGTAGGTAATGAGAGGGGACATACTTGAATGGATGCAAGTCTTTAGTGGAGTTTCTTAGTGACCAGTTTTGAGCTCAGTACTTCATAATACACTTATCACTGATTTCAGCGTATAAGGCAAGCAGATCTGACTAGAGTTTGTAGACCATACAAAACTAGAGGTGTTGCTGAGAACCAGATAATCAGACAAGAAAAGTTGTATATATACTCATATGTATGTATACATGTATATATATATACACATACTTACATATTTGTGTCTGTATTTATGTTGAGATACGTATATATGTAAATATATATACACTGTATAAGCATTTACAAATTTATTGTTACTGTCAATATTTTACCATGACAATGTTTGTTTATAAATTTAATTAATTTGTATATATTTACTCTTTTATTTTGGCCTCACTGAAAGGAATGGTGTGAATCTACAGACTCACGAGTGAAAAATTTTGCTGTAAAATGAGAAGCTCTACTTTTATACAAAATTCTTAAAATCTGAAGGTAGTGATCAATCAGTGACTGTATGTT